TGAGTGACCCATTTGAAATGATTAGGTAGGAGGGATATAAACATCTTGATATAGAGAAACTAATACTTAATTATTTTATATCAGGTGGTAGAACCCATGACAAACGACACAACATGACACTTGGTTCATGAAACAAAAACGGAATACAACATCACATCTAAATAAAAATAGAGATAGCTGCAAATACCTGGTGGGAAGCCTTCATCTAGCCCTGCTTCACGCAAGCGTGTGAAATCAGGCACAGAAGGAATTGCCACAGGGTTACCTTGAACATAGTGTGTGAGCAAAACCGCCAGGCCAAAAATCTTGTGGAACAACTGTGGTGACAGCATTATTTGAAGCCAACTGTAAAACAAACTTCTACTCTCTGGTGTAGATTCCTATGTTTAAAAATAGCAACATTTCAAAATTCTGCTCTCTCAAAGTTTCCTTGAACCACAAGCTTTGTTCTCAGTGAAATGAATGTCATTGATATTTGAAATAACATCAATTTATAGCTATAACTCAAATATTGTTTTTCTCAGAAGAAGCAATTTATATTGCAGTGCATTAGGAGTCTAAGTTATAGAGAGGGAAAAAAACAAAAATCACCCCACCCCTTTCAAATCCTTTCTTTTTTGTTCAGTCAATACTGCTATTTTCCCCCAGGAAAAAAATCTTTTTTTTTTTTTTGGTTAATTTTAAAAAGGAGCAATAGATATGTCTGCTTTAGTGAGAGAAGTCATGTTAAGATAAAATGGAACACATTCTCTTAATTGTTTGTTTTGAGAGAAACAATTATTAAGACTTATTATTTCATTACAACAATAATCTATCTTTTAAAGCATCTACATCTCAAGTGACATACTCCATGAATGTAGGATACAATATTCATGAAAAAAAATTTAAAAGACAATGAAAAGTTCTGAAATAGAAAGGTGTTTGATGCAGTTTAAGTATTCGGTATGATTTAAACTAAAGGCTATTTAAATATGTTCAACTTACCTAGCTGCTCCAATATGAAATAAGAAACTTTCACTACATGGTCTAATATATAGGGCCTGTAATTGGAGATTTATTTTGTTATCTATGGGAGCAGGTAATGTGATATAAATTTGCATATGAATAGAAATGTCAAGGACTTTAATTGTGTGCTAATGATTTGTTTTCTTCAAGAGGCAAACATACATAAAGTGTGAGGAAAATATTTGAGCGTACTTTTCTGCTGTATAAAAATACTTTCACCTTAAAAACAGAGTAAAGCAAAGTTATTTGTCAAGACTTGTTTTAAATATTTAATGTTCCTACATAATTCCCTTGTAAATGTCACTGAAGATAATCAAAAACAGAGTTCACAGGAAATATAACATGCACCAGCAGCATCTCTGCACTACTCTTTTTTGTTGGAGACTGAGGGATAGTAAGTGACAACTACTGAAAGCTTGTGCCTCAACAGAGGCTCATGACAACAGAAACCAAGCCAAATGGCAGTGGCACATCTGTGGCTTTGGTAGAAGTAACAGCCTCCCAAGCCCATACTTAAATAACCCACCAAATTCTTGGAAGTGAGCCGGGATCACCTCCACAGACATAGCAGACCATGCCCTGCACCCCCAAGCTTCCCATGCTCGCCCCATGGATTCCCAGAGCACGTTAGCGCGTGCGCTGCAACGGGCACCCCACTCTGCAAAAGATAAATATGCAGCACCCGGTCATTTGTAGCCTGATAGAACAGGACCAATTTAAATTTGCATGAGCAACTTTTGTTTAAAGTTTCCCACTAAATTTAAAGTTTCCTAACTTCTGAGTGTTTGACCTAATGCTCTTAACATTCTTTTGGCTGATGTTTTCCAATTGTTTTATGAAAAACAAA